CAACTGAGTTAAGAGACCTTGGAGAATCGAAATCTTATACCTTATATAATCCTACATCGTTTTGACTCTCAAATTTTACATTCTACACAATACACCCTCCACCTAAATGCAGTGCATGTGTCACAGAGTATACCATCTCGCATAGAATCTTCATACGCAGAAAACATATAATGGCCAGAATCACATTAAGAAGAAAGATTACCAAAATCAATATCCGGTTCGAATTAGGTCCAATACTCAGAAACGCACTCTCTACAAGTCCTTTACGAGTTCTTCAAACCGCAATTAACTACGTACAAAAGATACTCCGGTGGTTCAATGTAATTGAGAACCAACAACAATTTACAAATTACGACGCTAGTTAAGAAACGCTTCCAGTAAATTCAGCACCCCCTTTGACTCCTCATGCTTTAAGAAGTATTGAAAAACGCAGTCTCAAACATGTATCGTTCTAACAATATATTCAGATTTCATCATCATATACACAATCATTTGTCCAAACAAAATTTCACTGAAGACTATGTACCTTTCGTAGTTAGCAACAAAAAAAAAAATGTTTAATTGTATTTACCTGTAATTTTATCAAATAATGCAAATCCAAAAAGAACTATCGAAAGTCATGGAAATAAGAAATGTTTCTCCATCAAACCTATATAAATCAATTAATCACTCAAGCAAATTTTCGAAAAATGTATCGTTCTCACAGTTCAGACAAATGAGCCAGTATCAGACGCTTTTTGACAGATAAGATTTATCACGTAATTTGAAACCCAGTCAATGTACCTACCACGCGATGAAAATCAAGTCATTTTGTTGAAAATTATTCATCATTGTGCAAGGTGGATGATACGAAAGCACACATGATTTTTATCTGTGAAGTATATGAGAGCAAGCAAGATCGACATTACGGAGAAAAGTGATCGTACTCGGAATGAGGTTCGAATTAGGAGCGATGCTACGCAACTTACAGAACATACAAGCATTATACGAATTCTCAACCCCTAAATATTTCACGAACTCTCAATGAAGCCTGTAATATCTGCCCGGCCTCCAGCTAGACAGACTTAATTCTAATAAATCTTTACGAAGCAAACGAAAAAACGCTGTATATACAAATGAGTGTCCCAGGAATACAAAATACCAACCTAAGAAATATAAATGGGCGCAATTATTACTTTGTATCGCTTTAACTATGCATTTGATTTTACTGTTACTACTTCGCAATGAGGAGAACTTTGACGCTCAACCAATTAATCAAACATAATTTGAGTTCACGTAAACATAACCAGTTTTATCAACGGCAATTTACCAATTTTTTTTTGATTTTATCGGGTTGAATAGTGTACTGATCAGGCTCACGTTACCATTTATGTAATTAATGATTCAGTATTCAAGCTGGTGTGTTGACCAGCTCAACATAGGTAAAATTGCACAGTGAGACATTGTATGTCATGTCAGTGTTTGGTTTTTTCAACTTATTGATGTTTTGCTAGCTGAGTTGATCACCTCTATTCAATCGAGTGAATGAAATTGTAACAATTAACCGATTTATCTTCAGTAAATATTGAAAGCTGCAAAACTACAGTTTTTATCCTTCAATGACGGCTTGTGGAGGAGTTTTTGAAAAGGCAGAACGATTTTAAGATGTATTGTGGTATATATGGAATCCATGAATAGCAATAGTACTTAGCTCACCTTGCAAATGACCCAGTATGTGAGAAGTTAAGCGCATTGAGCAACTTCGCAAAAGCATTATTCTTGTAGCATCTTCAGCATTCCAAATACATCTCATACCGGAACATTACACAATTATTGAATGTAAATTATACAAAGAAATTTAAGGAGATCCCATTTCTGAATAGAGGGATTTGGCTTCGGGCCAGTACATTTCGAGAATTCAAAGCTGTAGAAGTAGAGTTTAAATCGGATCAGAAGTTTGTGACATCAGTTAAACAATAACGCGCTGCGGTACATATTGGTGTGAAACTGAGCCAAATATTGGTTCAGCCACATTTGTGGCTCAGTTGAACAGTAAAATGACTGGTTAGTTTGACTTTCGAATGCAACGAAGACAATCAAATACAACCGAATACAACACAAATTCGAATACTATCTCTACTCACTACTGTAATTTAATCCTTTGTATCTCATATACTGCATTTTGTTTGCTTATCTACAAACATGCTTTTGAAATAAGCTGATCTCTGACACAGCTAAGCAAACGAAAATTTCTTGACGAAATTTTTTCAGGAATAAGTGCATCTGGAATGCATGTAGCGTCAAAACAGGGTAGTTATTCAATGAGGATTACGATTGTTCGGACAAAAAGGAAAGTGGGCCCAAGAGGATTCTCACCTCCGATGTCTGATTCGTCGTCAGATGGTTTAATTTTTAATCCTAAATGCCTCTGTACATAATATTTCACGCTTTTTTGCTAATTTGCGAGCGTTGTGTGAATGTGCTACGAACATATAAACAATAGCAGGACACTGTCGTTCAAAACATAATGTGAAGAAGCAAAATATTTTGGTCCCTGCAGGGCTCGAACCTGCGACTTTGGAGTATTCTAGTATTAGCTCCACACTCTAACCAACTGAGTTAAGAGACCTTGTAAACGTCTTGATCTTTGTGAGGTTGAACTGCACACAAAGGGCAAGGCGCTGAGATTAATAAAAGAATGAAGTCTAAGATGTATCAATATTAAAGTAGTTGTGTAAATAGTTTAGAATTCTAGGTTTTATTCCCATTGTTTCGTTATCTTCATTGTTCTCGTGCATAATCATGCATAATCTTCATTGTTCTTTATTCTCATTGTTCTCTGTTCTATTTATAGTTGGACGAGGTTCCTGGGGGTGATCCTAGTCCTTTGCGTAGAGGGCCGTATCCTTACAGACCTTATGAGGATGTGTATCTCCCCGATCAGGTTGGACGGCGGGCGTAAAGCAGGAACATGGAGGACAATGGGTTGAGTGACCACAAGGAGAAGACTCCAAATCTAAACTATTTAAACGATTACTTTTACTCTTATACATTTCAGACTTAATTCTCTTAATAATCTCAGCGCCTTGCCCTTTGTGCAAAATTTCACCTCACAAAGATCAAGACGTTTACAACCTGATAGCATCAGCTATTTCAAGTAAATCTATATAGTGACCTTGTATGAAAGTTTTAAATTTTAATGAATTTTGGCCTTGGGCTAGTTTTTAAGAGCTTTAAATGCGCGTGCACTTACATCAAATTTGATTTATCTCTTTTTGAATGCATAATATGTGCTCCCAAGTGTGTCATGCTGCGATCTCAAATTTTCTGCCAATTCGAGGACATACAAATTGGACTGATCAAGAAGCGAAAAGAAGAGCAGTAATGGACTCAAAGAGCAAAGCGTAAATAGATATGCTGCCGTTAATGATAAAGCGTTCATGACCAGGATAAGATTTATAAACATAGCGGGAAAGAGGAGAATTATAGAATGCCGGGGGGTTTAAACGAGGCAGATTAAAGATCAAGAGCGCTAGCTGAAGCGCAAGTGGTGATCAGACCGCAACACAACTAGTGCGAATTTGAAGTACCGTTAGTAACCGGATTGTTGTCATCGTCGTCATCTTCCTTTGCGATAAGTGCTGCGGCTTTACGCATAGCTTCTGCCTCGTTTGAGCTAGTTATTTGAGTCAGATTTCACAGATTTAACACCACACAAAACGACCAAACTCACTAGTGCTTTCCCCTCTTTTTCTCGAAATCTTTGTGTTTCTCTACATCCTGCTCAGTCTCATCACCATACTCGTGCTCATCTTCTGTGCCGGTATTGACTATCCTCTGCTGGCCCCTGAGCTCTGACCTGACGTCGTCGATATGCTCAGGGGGTAAACTGAACGACGCCGATCTCGAGCTGGGGCTGGTAGAAGGAGGCGATGAGGGTGAGCGGTGGCTGTCGAGTGTAAGTCCAGGGATATCGTTGATGTTCTCCACCGTATCGGCTGTGAGTGTGAGTGTATAAGACGAGTGTTTGTCCTGTGCTCTTCCAATCTACTTACTCTCTGCATTGTACTTAACGTATGGCGTTTTGCTGCGGGCAGCCGTGTTACTAACATTCCTGCACTCAAACCTCGCTACTCACGGCTCAGTCACTTTCATCGTTGAGTCTTTTTGCGCTTCAGTGACGGCTATGTTCTCTTCGTCCCACGTCAGCCCGTGGTCATCCCTATGCTGTTGCTCCGCTTGCGTATTCTTCAATATCGATTTCATTATGATGATAGCTCGCAAGATTAGATTGCTATCTTAAAAGTGTCCGAAATAGACCATAAAGAGAAAAAATCTATCTATCAAATCATTTAATCATTTACATATTCTAAAAACCTAAAGAGGGATGGAAGCATACTCATCCAATCCAAGTGCAATGTTGAGGTTCTGCATGCATTGGGTAGCGGCGCCCTTGAGGAGGTTGTCGAGAGCACCGACGACGACTACACGCTCGCCTTTAGAGTGTACTTGAACACCACCGCCAATCCAGCCGTGCCTGCCAGCGATGTCAGGGATAGTAGGTACCTCATTAATGAATTTTATCAGCTTCTCGTTCTGATATCTATCTTCGTAGAGCTTGCGCACGTCCGAGGCTCTCAGGTCGCGTTCGAGGGGAAGGGATGCCACACTGACAATTCCTTGGAACCATGGTCCGACAATTGGGGTAAACGCTACATTGATACCACCAGCACCCAACTTGGACAAGTGAAATCCAGCCTCGCGTTCGTGGATGTGGTCAGTGAGAGCATATGGTTTGCATGCTCCTCCCAATGCTACATCGTCCATCTTTGGGAGCGTCACTGGAACACCATTACTGTCTTTCTCGCCCGTCTTTGTACCTGCGCCCGAATATCCACTCATACCAAACACCGTTGGCTGGTTGCCTTGCTTGAGGTATGGCAGGAGTGGCGCGAGCAGGAGCTGAGTGTTGGTAGCGTAACATCCTGGGTTGGAGATAAGCGTAGATTGCTTTATCTCATCACGACCGTATAACTCTAGATGTGAAATGAGCCTATGTATGCACCTTTTAATATCTTTTTACACACCAGGTAAACCGTAAGTCCAACTGTCTTCGAAACGCATGTCTGCTGATAAGTCAACAATAACACTACCCTTGCCTTCGCGTGCCTCCCTAGCCGAAGTGATGGCATCGACAAATGGCTTGCATACACCATTTGGTAGGGCCATTATAAACGCATCTACATCAGCCCTTCTTTCCATCTCCGCACATTCCTTAGGGCCTAAAGCTTCGTATTGGACGTTGGACTTGTCGTAGCCCTGCAGAGACTTTCCTGCAAGTTCACGGGATGAAACGGCCACCAAGTCGATATTTGGGTGAGCATTGAGCAATGAGACGAGGTTTTGACCCGTGTAGCCACGAGCGCCAATCAAAGCAACTTTCTTAGACTTTGGTGCTTCAGTTGCGTAACCTCTTCTGGCCTTCATCTGCATTGCTACAGCTTGGGTGACTGATGGGCGGGCGGAGGTCATGAGTGTTCTGCGACTAGCCGGTGGTGGGCCCACTGGCAGGAATGAGCGCTCAATACGGCCTTTGTTTTCAAATTCTTTGACAGTCTGCTCAACTTCCGAAATAGACTGAGCTCCGTACCAGAACAATGATCCGCCAGCACGAGTGAATGAGCCATCAGCCTTCTCAAAGTGCCATGCACGCAATTCATCGTCTGCACGAGCAGCCCAGAAGAGCTTACGGTAGTTCTTGCGCAGCTGTGCCCAGACGTTTTCGACGACATTGTTTAATACACCGTTTGTAGATGGCAAAAATGCCCTCAGCACTGGCACTTCACCTTCTGGGTGAGAAACAATAGCAACGACGTCTTGTGGCTCATCACCGTAAATGGTGTATGGGTGTTGCTTCAAGTCGGCAAAGAATTCGGAAGCGGTTTTCAAACCAGACTTAATTTCAGGTTCACGCTCCTCGAGAACCTTACGGAGTTTTTCAGTGCCGACCTCTTCAATGGAGGAGCTCTTGAAGAGCTTATAACCTCTTCTGATAAGGGTACCAGCACCGGAGTCAGTGAATAATTCCTTTTGGAGCTGGTCGGCTGAGATGATAGCAACAGAGGACGAGCGTGGGAGGTGATCAAGGAGATCTTTGATTTCGCGCAACTTAAGTTTGGTACCGTAACGAACCCATTCTTCTTTCATGAGACCATCATACTCCTCATCCAAGTTAATAGTTTCGAGGAGTTCGTTGGACACGCCATGGAAAATACCACCCTTCTCGTTCAAGTAGACAATCTTGAGAGGTTCGAGAGACTTTGAGAGCTCACCAGCAGCGACATCAGCATTCACGTTGAGAAGTTGACCGTCTGCCGTCTCAGCAATTGAAGTCAAGATTGGAAGGTAACCAGCTTTGATTGCAGCCTCGATTGGCTCCTTGTTGACCTTGTCGATCTTGCCGACATACCCATACTTGTCCTTGTCGAGGTAGGAGGCGGTAAAGACACCTGCTGGAATTGGACGTGCTCTTGAACCGAGCTTCTCGAGCTCATCACACATACGTAAATTCTCTTCCAAGAACGTTTCACGGGCGATTTGGAGAGTTTTAGGGTCAGTAATTCTAATGCCGTCAATGTAGTCAGGTACAACGCCTGCATCCTCAAGCTTCTGATTGAGCTGTGGACCAGCGCCGTGAAGGACGACGGGGTGAAGGCCGAGTTTGTGTAGGACAGCGAGAGAGTGAATGAGGTCTGGAGACGTGGTGATAGCACCACCAACCTTAATTACTGCAAAGTTTTTGTTGGTTGTAGACTGTTATAACCGTGTGAGACGACGGATTCATAGTGGAGGAGTAAGACGAACCGAGAAGACGCGCAAGTAGCGCTCGATTTCTTGTCTGGAGCTGATATTTGATAATAAATGAAGCAATTGATCCTATCCGTGGTTTTATTGAGCTGATGCTTATCTAGGCCTAACGACTCACACGATGGCTGAGATCCGACTTGAAAGTACACAGGCGTGGCGTGACAGAGAGAGATCTCTTCGAAGCGCCAGTGAGCGCTCTTTTGGCTACAGATGACTGCCTCAGTGCTAATTTACTTCTTGAAATCATGATTGTTTTTACACAGGGCTTTAGGACAAGATCTCCGAAATCAAAAAATGTATAAATTTTAGTTGTAAATAACTCTTCTCCTGTTCGCTGGGCCACGTGGCTTACTGAATTTGATTTCTTCTGTTATTGTCGAGGCCTTCGTCGGATTAAGCTCAGCGTTGATATGTACATCTGATAACTCGGCAGGATCATTCGTTTCTAATTTCTTCTTGATAACGATAGTGAAGGTACTCTGTATCGAGCTTGGGAAGTTGGTCGCAGAGGAACTGTACAACATCCTCGACTTGATGTTTGAAGTGGGTGGACACGTGTAAATGAAGACTGAGGTTGTATCAGATTAGTGGTGAGATAAGCAAAGGTGCTTACTATAATCCCCGCCTTTCATTTTGTATAGCGTGTACCTTGGCTCGTCTGTGGATATATTGTCTCTGACATTCACAAGCTCAACATTCTTCTTGGATTCGAGGATAATAGTCTCTGTTTTCATATCAATACCCTTAAAGTTTCGTCAGTATTTCATCGCAGCCGCCTTCATCAAGCTGACGACCCACACACTGCACAAAATTGTGCTCATTGTTTACAATTTCGTTTAGTGCCTGAGTGACGTCCTCATTCCAATTGAACTTGATAGACTGAGTAACCTTGGATAGACTACCAGACGACTTTATGAGGTCATCGATCTCATTCAACTGCCTTTCCTTCTCCGAATAAGGCTTATCAGCTTCTTGAATAACCTTGAAAGGATGCGTAGGAGCATCAGCATCTTCGCTGAATTGTTTTATATCGTCAATAAAGTCAGTTTTGATAAAAAACTGTGATCCAAGCTGTTTTTCGAGGCTGGCGCGTGAACTCGAGTAGATCATTTTGAGCTTAATTGAAGCAGATTCCGGCGCGTAGTGTATAATTCTGAACTTCTTATTATCCTGCTTGAATAATAGGAATGCGGGTATATTGTTTGATAGTACTTTGTATAAGTTCTTATAATCCTCATTCTCATCACCACTTATATCTGTGCACTGGGTTGATCGTAGCTGCTCATCGATAATCTCAACTTTCAAACAGCGCACCGTTGATTCGAATCTATTTGACTCTTCAAACTCTTTGGCTAGCGCTGCTGTTGGCTGTATCCCTGAATTTACCGACATGAATGATGATAGGGCTGGTTCAACCGCTACTGCCACGATGGAATTCGTAATTGGTGGTATAAAATGTATTGTTTACGGATTAGACCATCTTTCCTTAGATTCCATTAAAAGAGACGTTGTCGTTGTTTTCTTGCTCCACGGCAGAGGTGAGACCCAGTGCGGTGATCGATATTCATCGATTGCGTCCAAGTGTCTAACAGCTTCTCGTCAATCTGAATTACGCAAAAGAGATTTAATAGTCGTCTCCTTTGACCAGCGTAATCACGGTTCTAGGCTTATCAATGACTTACACAATCAAGGCTGGCCAGATAACCAAAATCACTTTATTGATATGTTCTCGATTCAACAAGGTACATCTAGAGACGTCAGCTACCTTATAGACTATATCCCTTCCTTTTTATTCCCTCATGATCAACATAACATCGTTGACTACGGTTGTATTGGTGTTAGTCTGGGCGGTCATGCTACCTGGATGTCCTTGCACCAGGATGAAAGAATCACCGTCGGTGTTCCTATCATAGCCTGTGCTGATTACCTCTCTTTAATGAAAGAGAGAGCTGATAGTAGGAACATCAACATCAACCCATCAATTGCTTTCACAGGGCAACTCAACAGATACGACCCTATGCTGTCTCTCGCGCACTCAAAGGATGCATGGAAGGGTAAGAAAATAATGGCTTTGAGTGGTGGTAGCGACAAGCTTGTTGCACCAAAGCACCAATTAGAATTCATTAGGCAGCTAGATGATTTGTACGCACAGGACAGCAAATCAGTTGTCATGTTCAAGTCGCTGCAAGAAGTGAAGCATCAAGTACCTGAGGAAATGCAGAATACCTGCGCTAACTTTATAGCAGATGCTCTGATATATGAAATGAGCAAGGATGAGCTACTCGAAAAGGGATTTCAATCACATTTGACAGCATTTAAACTATAAATAAAGTGCATCTAAAATCAATTATCCTCTTCATCATCATCCGAATCATCGTCATCTTCGATAGCCTCATCTTCCACCATTGCATTTCTATCGCTGTCATCACCATCTGAACTATTGTCCTTTTTAGGGTGTTAGTATGAGTGATATGAATGATAAGAAAGATCACACTCACAAGTCCCTCATCATCTTCCTCACTATCTTGGTCGCTATCATTCTCACCGTTACCGAGTTCAACATCCTCAATACCCTGACCATCATCGTTATCATACTCAATGTTATCTTCCTCATCTGAATCGCCTTCGACGTAGGTGACGGCATTGTTTGATTTTTGATTGCCTTGCTCAGCTGATCGCCTCTCTTGTTGAATAGATCTTTGTAAAGCGATTTGAGAGAGTACAACGTCAAGTCTACCGGAAAGGGACATGAGTTGCTCGTGTGAGTTTATACGCTGACTCAGAGCAGAATGCAAACCAAGTAATTTTTGAGTAATTTGAGGTACTGACAACAAATAGGCAGTGTGTATAGTCAAAACTGCTTTTGACCATTCTAATAAAGATTTGGCGCGCTTTGGACCTGCTCTACCAGGTTTAGCGAGTCTAGTTGTACACTGATGAAGGAGAGGAATAGCGAGTTGTGAAGGTAGTCTATTAACGGAATTTCTAATAATATTCAAATCTGTCTGACTCAAGCAGCTTTCAAGGAGATTTTTATCATTCGAATTGAGAGATTGAGTGAGAAGAGTAGCCAAAGATTGAGCAGGGATAGTTGGGGCATCTATAGCCTCATTATCAGCTTGGTCATCACCTGCTTTGTTTGCAGATGCCTTCAACCTCTGGCCAAGAGATAACTCAGCGAGATTATCCGTTGGTAGCTGAGCGTGCTCATTGTCTGCTTGGCTATTTTGAGATTTGAAAATAGACGTATGAGATACAGGCTGTTGAGAAGGCTTTGATTTCTTTTTTATCGGGGAGCTCATGATGGACGTCGTTATGGAAGCTGCAAATTTACAAGTTACAGGACAACGATCATGTACTACGATGAAATAGAAATAGAAGACTGTAGCTTCGATGAGGATAAGCAGGTATACCATTACCCATGTCCGTGTGGCGATAGGTTTGAAATCACAGAGGATCAGCTTAAAGAGGGTGAAGACATTGCACGCTGTCCAAGCTGTAGTCTGATAATTAGAATAATATATGATCCCGTGGGTTTACTGGGATTTAAGTAAATACATAGGCTAATACACGCATATAGCTTGATTTTGAGTGATGTACATCTAATCAAGTACACCCAAATAATCCTCTTTTATAGTACCAATTGCAAACTTATATAGATGTTAGAATAACCCCATTGTATTCCACTCACTTGTACTCACAATTTCTGTTGCATCCACACGCGTACCAACAACCTTAAGCCTGACTTTAGAACCCCTCTCAATAACTTGATCTTCTGAGCTAAAGCAAGGTGGAGTCGCACTGGGATCGAATTTTATATCTTGAGGGATCAACTGGGTGTTTCGTTAGCCTAATTCTTGTACCTTGGAATCCAACCTACGTGACTAGAAACGAATACTTGAAGTGGTCCGACGTCTGCAAAGAATCCCATCTTATTGACATTTGCCACCTTCCCATCCACTACTTCCCCTTTAAATGGCTTATACACGATGGCTGTGTATTTCACCACGAACTCTGCTGTACCAACACCTGGTATAACTGTCCCCGATCCTGGATCCGATATCGACAATACAGCGATTATATACCCATATCTACCTGTGCACGTTCCCTCCACGTCTGCGAACAGCTTACTATTGATATAATCCATCGTCTGCGGTCCAAAGTAACTGGGATGAAGGTGCAGCCTGTGCGTAAGGTCGTGTTTCTATTTAACCTAAGCCTGGCTATACATCAAATCCCTTATCCAACTCACAACGAAAAACATGTAAATAACCTCGTTGTACCTCAACAACCACCAATGGCCTCATTAATCGCGATATTAGATTTGAAAGGGAAGTCTCTAATACAGAGGTCTTATAAGGATGATATTCCCGCGTCCACCGTCGATAGATTCATGCCAATAGTCTTGGATATGGAAGAAGATCTACAAACTGTAACTCCTTGCTTTACAAAGGATGGTGTCAATTACATGCACATCAGGTACTCAAACCTCTACATACTCGCTCTCTCTAAAAACAACTCAAACGCAGCTGAAATTATCCTTTTCTTGCATAAACTTGCTTCTGTTTTTACTGAATATTTCAAGGAACTTGAAGAGGAATCCATTAGAGACAATTTCGTTATTATTTATGAACTTTTCGATGAAATGATGGACTATGGTCATCCACAGACAACTGAATCAAAGATTCTACAGGAGTACATTACTCAGGAATCTTATAAGCTCGAATCTCAAGCTAGACCTCCAATGGCTGTCACAAACGCTGTCAGTTGGCGTAGTGAGGGTATCCGTTATCGCAAGAACGAAGTCTTCTTAGATGTCGTCGAGTCTGTAAATATGCTCGTTAACGCTTCTGGTAACGTCATTAGAAGTGAGATTCTTGGTGCCGTCAAAATGAAATGCTTCCTCACTGGAATGCCTGAGTTGAGGCTCGGTTTGAACGACAAAGTCATGTTCGAAACTACTGGCAGGACAAACAGAGGGAAGAGTATTGAAATGGAGGATGTCAAATTTCATCAGTGCGTGAGGTTGTCGAGGTTTGAAAATGATAGAACCATCTCTTTCATTCCACCCGACGGTGAATTCGAGCTGATGAGCTATCGGTTGTCAACTTCAGTAAAACCCCTTGTCTGGGCTGAAGCAAGTATCGAATATCATTCAGGCTCACGTGTCGAATACACTGTCAAAGTAAAAGCAAACTTCAAAAAGAGATCATCTGCAAACAACGTTGAAATACTTATTCCAGTTCCAGATGACGCTGATACCCCTAAATTTAGAAGTGCGACTGGATCAGTCAGCTATGCGCCTGATCAGAGTTGTTTCATCTGGAAAATAAAGCAGCTGGCTGGTGGAAAAGAGTTCTTGCTTCGAGCCGAGTTTGGGCTGCCTAGTGTGAAAGGAGATGATATACAATCCAAACGTCCAATCTTGGTTAAATTCGAAATTCCATATTTCACTGTAAGTTGGTTGTGATATCACTCATCTCAAATGCCTAATGTATCTATAGGTCTCTGGCATACAAGTGCGCTATTTGAAGATTGTTGAAAAGAGCGGCTACCAAGCTCTGCCTTGGGTTAGATACCTCACCAACGATGGCGACTACGCGCTGCGCACCAACGTAGACCGAACTAACAATGAGATATCGCAGTAAGCACAGATATACACGCTCACGCGCATGTTTCTTTTACTTGTAAATGAAAAATAAATCTAAAATTTATAAATTCCGGATTTTGTAATAACACGCGTCTGCGTTATCCTATCTCGCGTCCACCCCTTGCTTAAAACCAACAAAAACGGAAGAAACGAAATGCAGAGGTCTCCACTCAAGCCCAAGTTTAACAGAGAGATAAGCCTGGCAGATGCAGCCGCCAATGCTGAGTTCGCAGAGAAGAAACGCGTGTGGGTGCCAGATCACAAGGAGGGCTATCTCTCTGGCTGGGTAGCCAAGGAGAATGGCGAAGAGTGGGACGTCGTATGCAACAGCGAGGTGATTAATTTCTTGGTTAATCTCATCTACACTACTCACGCGTCATTCACAGACGAGAACGATGCGGAGTGACTTGCTATCACCGCAGAATCCGCCACGATTTGATAAAGTCAGCGATATCGCCGAACTTACATTTCTTAATGAAGCATCCGTAGTACACAACCTCAGATCGAGATATGGCTCTGATTTGATTTACACCTACTCTGGCCTCTTCCTCGTGGCGGTAAACCCTTATCGTGACCTGCCCATATACACAGACGCGCACGTACAAGCCTATCGCAATAAACGGAGAGAAGATAATGCGCCGCATATCTTTGCTGTGACTGACAGAGCTTGGAATGATATGATGGCTGAGCGCGAAAATCAATCTGTTCTGATTACGTGGGTTCAATTGAATAGAGGAGTTGCAATCTGACAAAAAATCTCCAGTGGTGAATCAGGTGCTGGTAAAACTGAGAACACAAAAAAAGTAATTCAATACCTCGCTTCAATAGCTAGCAACTCAGCAGGACGCGTCGACTCTTTGTCACGATCTACACAGCCTCGTACACCGTCTAGAACACCAACCGCATTCTCAACTCCAGTTTCTGTACCAAATTCACCTTCCTTGGGCCAGTCTATAACGCCATCATCCTCAATGACAAGTCTAGGCACATTGGAAAGACAGATCCTACAAGCCAACCCGATTCTTGAATCTTTTGGTAATGCACAAACTGTCAGAAACAATAACTCGTCAAGATTCGGTAAATTTGTGCGCATTGAGTTCAGCACTAAAGGTCAAATAGCCGGTGCACACATAGATTGGTATTTGCTTGAAAAGTCCAGAGTTAGCTCAAGATCTAATCAGGAAAGATCGTTCCATGTCTTTTACCATTTCCTCAACGGTGCCGATCAAGATTTGCTCGATGCCTTGCAGATCCCTTCAGCCGACATCAATCACTACAATTACCTCTCCAAAACGCGCAAGCAGGTGGATGGTATAGATGACGAGAAAGAATGGGACATGCTCATTGGTGCACTGGATGTACTTGGGTTCGACAAGGAGGAGCAGCTGAATCTGTTCAGAGTCGTTGGTGCGATCCTCCACCTCGGCAACATTGACATCAAAGGAGACAGATCGGGCCAGGCACGTATTGAAGACAAGGATGCGCTTGAGCGACTCTCCCTTGTTTTAGGATTGTCATCCTCTAAGGAGCTCGAGCAATCCATTATCAACCCCCGCGTGATGGCGGGCAAGGAAACAGTGATCCAATCACGCTCTGAAAGTCAAGCTAAAGCGGAAGTTGCATCACTCGCTAAAACAATTTACGAAAAGAATTTCTCCAAGCTGATTGAGAAAGTTAACACAGTCCTCGACCGCGCTACAGAAAGCAACACATTTATTGGTGTGCTTGATATAGCAGGATTTGAGATATTCAAGAAAAACTCGTTCGAGCAGCTATGTATCAACTACACTAATGAGTGTCTGCAACAATACTTCAATCATCACATGTTTGTGCTCGAGCAGGAAGAGTATCAGAGAGAGGGCATCGAATGGAACTTTGTCAATTTTGGATTGGATCTTCAGCCCACTATCAATCTCATTGAGAGTGTTTCTCCAATTGGTATTCTTAGCTGCTTGGATGAGGAGTGTATTATGCCAAAAGCTAACGATCAGACATTCACTCAAAAACTTACATCGCTATGCATGAATAGAGATGACGGCAGCAAACTGAAATTCAGCAAGTCTAAATTCGGAGACGAAGGGTTCATAGTGCAGCATTATGCGGGTAAAGTTGAATACGATACTGAAGCATGGTTGGAGAAGAACAAAGATCCAATTAATGACCATCTCACCAAAGTTCTATCGAATAGCTCAGATGCATATATCGCAGACCTTTTCTCAGAGTACACACCGGATGACAGAAAAGCAAGCAGAGGAGGAAAAGGTGGAGCTTTCAGAACTGTCGCACAAAGACATAAAGAGCAGCTAAATGCGTTGATGAGGCAACTCAACTCTACGGAACCACATTTCGTCAGATGTATTCTACCCAACTCAATAAAGAAGCCGGGAAGAATTGAGGTAAATCTTGTACTCGATCAGCTGCGCTGCAATGGTGTACTGGAGGGTATCAGAATTGCTAGACTGGGTTATCCAAACAGACTGCCGTTCTCAGAGTTCAGATCCAGGTATGGTGTCCTCACTCCAAATGTTCTCTCAGTACACTATATGGATGCTAGGAAAGTGTGCCAGCGCATGCTCGAGAGTTTGGAGCTGGACTCAGAGCTATACAGAATCGGTAATAGCAAGATCTTCTTCAAGTCAGGTGTGCTCGCCGAAATGGAAGAGAGAAGGGACAACATTCTCTACGACTTGTTCACGTCCATTCAAGCATCTTCTAGAGGATTCATTACGAGGAGGATTATACACAAGCTGAGAAATAAGGCCAACGCTGCTCTAATTATCAATAGGAACGCTGAGTTATCTAACAACCTATCGCAATGGGCATGGTGGAGAGTTTTTAATAAGGTCAGACCACTCCTAACTGCTACGAGATCCGAAGAGGAGATCAGGAAGCGGGAAGTAAGTATAATAATTAGTACTTAGTATACTCAATAACTGACGCTCGACAGGATCAATTACAATCCATGCAGAGGAGGCTTGAATTTATAGTAAAAGACCAGCAAGCGAATAACTCTGAACAGAGGCGCATACAAAAGCTGCTTATGAGTACACAAACAGCCTTAGAAACCGAACGGGATCAATCACTGCAAAACTCGCACCTCATAGAAAGATTCCAGACGCGCGAAGTTGAGATGAGCGAAGAGATAGACAACCACCGTGCTTTCATCAAAGATCTAGAAAACCAACTCGAAAAGGCATTGAATGGAATGAAAGAGGCGGAATCTCGACACCAGGATCTAAGAAGCGACTTTGATATTGCCAGTACCGAAATCTTGCGCTTGGAAAGTACAGTGGCTGACAATAGTAAAATGAAGGAACTAGCCAATGATTATGAGCACAGACTTGCAGTAACATCCTCTGAGCGCGACAAATTTGGACGGGAGTTGCAGGCACTTCGCAGTAAGCTCACCGAAACACTCCATCAGCTGCAGGAATTCGAGGAGAAGAGTACAAGATTTGACGATATCTCCTTGAGATGCCAGGAGGTGGAAAGCGAGTTGGCTGATGTTGTGCTGCAATTTAAGCATTCTAAGAGTACAAGAGACGACGAATTGGAGGAAATGCGCGAGCAACTAACTCAATCTATAGAAGATGCTGAAACCTCAAGGAGTGAAATTGAATCACTCAAGAAGAGAGCGCTCGATGCAGAGTCTTACGAAGACAACTACAAAAGATTGAAACAGGACTACGATGAAGAGGTTCAGAGAGCAGTCGAAGCAGAAACTTACAAAGTCAACTACGATACTCGCTCTCTCTAAAAACAACTCAAACGCAGCTGAAATTATCCTTTTCTTGCATAAACTTGCTTCTGTTTTTACTGAATATTTCAAGGAACTTGAAGAGGAATCCATTAGAGACAATTTCGTTATTATTTATGAACTTTTCGATGAAATGATGGACTATGGTCATCCACAGACAACTGAATCAAAGATTCTACAGGAGTACATTACTCAGGAATCTTATAAGCTCGAATCTCAAGCTAGACCTCCAATGGCTGTCACAAACGCTGTCAGTTGGCGTAGTGAGGGTATCCGTTATCGCAAGAACGAAGTCTTCTTAGATGTCGTCGAGTCTGTAAATATGCTCGTTAACGCTTCTGGTAACGTCATTAGAAGTGAGATTCTTGGTGCCGTCAAAATGAAATGCTTCCTCACTGGAATGCCTGAGTTGAGGCTCGGTTTGAACGACAAAGTCATGTTCGAAACTACTGGCAGGACAAACAGAGGGAAGAGTATTGAAATGGAGGATGTCAAATTTCATCAGTGCGTGAGGTTGTCGAGGTTTGAAAATGATAGAACCATCTCTTTCATTCCACCCGACGGTGAATTCGAGCTGATGAGCTATCGGTTGTCAACTTCAGTAAAACCCCTTGTCTGGGCTGAAGCAAGTATCGAATATCATTCAGGCTCACGTGTCGAATACACTGTCAAAGTAAAAGCAAACTTCAAAAAGAGATCATCTGCAAACAACGTTGAAATACTTATTCCAGTTCCAGATGACGCTGATACCCCTAAATTTAGAAGTGCGACTGGATCAGTCAGCTATGCGCCTGATCAGAGTTGTTTCATCTGGAAAATAAAGCAGCTGGCTGGTGGAAAAGAGTTCTTGCTTCGAGCCGAGTTTGGGCTGCCTAGTGTGAAAGGAGATGATATACAATCCAAACGTCCAATCTTGGTTAAATTCGAAATTCCATATTTCACTGTAAGTTGGTTGTGATATCACTCATCTCAAATGCCTAATGTATCTATAGGTCTCTGGCATACAAGTGCGCTATTTGAAGATTGTTGAAAAGAGCGGCTACCAAGCTCTGCCTTGGGTTAGATACCTCACCAACGATGGCGACTACGCGCTGCGCACCAACGTAGACCGAACTAACAATGAGATATCGCAGTAAGCACAGATATACACGCTCACGCGCATGTTTCTTTTACTTGTAAATGAAAAATAAATCTAAAATTTATAAATTCCGGATTTTGTAATAACACGCGTCTGCGTTATCCTATCTCGCGTCCACCCCTTGCTTAAAACCAACAAAAACGGAAGAAACGAAATGCAGAGGTCTCCACTCAAGCCCAAGTTTAACAGAGAGATAAGCCTGGCAGATGCAGCCGCCAATGCTGAGTTCGCAGAGAAGAAACGCGTGTGGGTGCCAGATCACAAGGAGGGCTATCTCTCTGGCTGGGTAGCCAAGGAGAATGGCGAAGAGTGGGACGTCGTATGCAACAGCGAGGTGATTAATTTCTTGGTTAATCTCATCTACACTACTCACGCGTCATTCACAGACGAGAACGATGCGGAGTGACTTGCTATCACCGCAGAATCCGCCACGATTTGATAAAGTCAGCGATATCGCCGAACTTACATTTCTTAATGAAGCATCCGTAGTACACAACCTCAGATCGAGATATGGCTCTGATTTGATTTACACCTACTCTGGCCTCTTCCTCGTGGCGGTAAACCCTTATCGTGACCTGCCCATATACACAGACGCGCACGTACAAGCCTATCGCAATAAACGGAGAGAAGATAATGCGCCGCATATCTTTGCTGTGACTGACAGAGCTTGGAATGATATGATGGCTGAGCGCGAAAATCAATCTGTTCTGATTACGTGGGTTCAATTGAATAGAGGAGTTGCAATCTGACAAAAAATCTCCAGTGGTGAATCAGGTGCTGGTAAAACTGAGAACACAAAAAAAGTAATTCAATACCTCGCTTCAATAGCTAGCAACTCAGCAGGACGCGTCGACTCTTTGTCACGATCTACACAGCCTCGTACACCGTCTAGAACACCAACCGCATTCTCAACTCCAGTTTCTGTACCAAATTCACCTTCCTTGGGCCAGTCTATAACGCCATCATCCTCAATGACAAGTCTAGGCACATTGGAAAGACAGATCCTACAAGCCAACCCGATTCTTGAATCTTTTGGTAATGCACAAACTGTCAGAAACAATAACTCGTCAAGATTCGGTAAATTTGTGCGCATTGAGTTCAGCACTAAAGGTCAAATAGCCGGTGCACACATAGATTGGTATTTGCTTGAAAAGTCCAGAGTTAGCTCAAGATCTAATCAGGAAAGATCGTTCCATGTCTTTTACCATTTCCTCAACGGTGCCGATCAAGATTTGCTCGATGCCTTGCAGATCCCTTCAGCCGACATCAATCACTACAATTACCTCTCCAAAACGCGCAAGCAGGTGGATGGTATAGATGACGAGAAAGAATGGGACATGCTCATTGGTGCACTGGATGTACTTGGGTTCGACAAGGAGGAGCAGCTGAATCTGTTCAGAGTCGTTGGTGCGATCCTCCACCTCGGCAACATTGACATCAAAGGAGACAGATCGGGCCAGGCACGTATTGAAGACAAGGATGCGCTTGAGCGACTCTCCCTTGTTTTAGGATTGTCATCCTCTAAGGAGCTCGAGCAATCCATTATCAACCCCCGCGTGATGGCGGGCAAGGAAACAGTGATCCAATCACGCTCTGAAAGTCAAGCTAAAGCGGAAGTTGCATCACTCGCTAAAACAATTTACGAAAAGAATTTCTCCAAGCTGATTGAGAAAGTTAACACAGTCCTCGACCGCGCTACAGAAAGCAACACATTTATTGGTGTGCTTGATATAGCAGGATTTGAGATATTCAAGAAAAACTCGTTCGAGCAGCTATGTATCAACTACACTAATGAGTGTCTGCAACAATACTTCAATCATCACATGTTTGTGCTCGAGCAGGAAGAGTATCAGAGAGAGGGCATCGAATGGAACTTTGTCAATTTTGGATTGGATCTTCAGCCCACTATCAATCTCATTGAGAGTGTTTCTCCAATTGGTATTCTTAGCTGCTTGGATGAGGAGTGTATTATGCCAAAAGCTAACGATCAGACATTCACTCAAAAACTTACATCGCTATGCATGAATAGAGATGACGGCAGCAAACTGAAATTCAGCAAGTCTAAATTCGGAGACGAAGGGTTCATAGTGCAGCATTATGCGGGTAAAGTTGAATACGATACTGAAGCATGGTTGGAGAAGAACAAAGATCCAATTAATGACCATCTCACCAAAGTTCTATCGAATAGCTCAGATGCATATATCGCAGACCTTTTCTCAGAGTACACACCGGATGACAGAAAAGCAAGCAGAGGAGGAAAAGGTGGAGCTTTCAGAACTGTCGCACAAAGACATAAAGAGCAGCTAAATGCGTTGATGAGGCAACTCAACTCTACGGAACCACATTTCGTCAGATGTATTCTACCCAACTCAATAAAGAAGCCGGGAAGAATTGAGGTAAATCTTGTACTCGATCAGCTGCGCTGCAATGGTGTACTGGAGGGTATCAGAATTGCTAGACTGGGTTATCCAAACAGACTGCCGTTCTCAGAGTTCAGATCCAGGTATGGTGTCCTCACTCCAAATGTTCTCTCAGTACACTATATGGATGCTAGGAAAGTGTGCCAGCGCATGCTCGAGAGTTTGGAGCTGGACTCAGAGCTATACAGAATCGGTAATAGCAAGATCTTCTTCAAGTCAGGTGTGCTCGCCGAAATGGAAGAGAGAAGGGACAACATTCTCTACGACTTGTTCACGTCCATTCAAGCATCTTCTAGAGGATTCATTACGAGGAGGATTATACACAAGCTGAGAAATAAGGCCAACGCTGCTCTAATTATCAATAGGAACGCTGAGTTATCTAACAACCTATCGCAATGGGCATGGTGGAGAGTTTTTAATAAGGTCAGACCACTCCTAACTGCTACGAGATCCGAAGAGGAGATCAGGAAGCGGGAAGTAAGTATAATAATTAGTACTTAGTATACTCAATAACTGACGCTCGACAGGATCAATTACAATCCATGCAGAGGAGGCTTGAATTTATAGTAAAAGACCAGCAAGCGAATAACTCTGAACAGAGGCGCATACAAAAGCTGCTTATGAGTACACAAACAGCCTTAGAAACCGAACGGGATCAATCACTGCAAAACTCGCACCTCATAGAAAGATTCCAGACGCGCGAAGTTGAGATGAGCGAAGAGATAGACAACCACCGTGCTTTCATCAAAGATCTAGAAAACCAACTCGAAAAGGCATTGAATGGAATGAAAGAGGCGGAATCTCGACACCAGGATCTAAGAAGCGACTTTGATATTGCCAGTACCGAAATCTTGCGCTTGGAAAGTACAGTGGCTGACAATAGTAAAATGAAGGAACTAGCCAATGATTATGAGCACAGACTTGCAGTAACATCCTCTGAGCGCGACAAATTTGGACGGGAGTTGCAGGCACTTCGCAGTAAGCTCACCGAAACACTCCATCAGCTGCAGGAATTCGAGGAGAAGAGTACAAGATTTGACGATATCTCCTTGAGATGCCAGGAGGTGGAAAGCGAGTTGGCTGATGTTGTGCTGCAATTTAAGCATTCTAAGAGTACAAGAGACGACGAATTGGAGGAAATGCGCGAGCAACTAACTCAATCTATAGAAGATGCTGAAACCTCAAGGAGTGAAATTGAATCACTCAAGAAGAGAGCGCTCGATGCAGAGTCTTACGAAGACAACTACAAAAGATTGAAACAGGACTACGATGAAGAGGTTCAGAGAGCAGTCGAAGCAGAAACTTACAAAGTCAACTACGAAAGACTGCAACAAGACTACGATGAAGTGGTGAAGAGAGCACTCCACGCAGAAGCCTATAAAGACAGCTATGAAAGATTGAAGCAAGACTACGATGAAGAGGTTCAGAGAGCAGTCGAAGCAGAAACTTACAAAGTCAACTACGAAAGACTGCAACAAGACTACGACGAAGTCGTGGAGAGGGCACTCCACGCAGAAGCCCACAAAGACAACTACGAGAGATTGAAGCAGGACTACGATGAGGAGGTGTTGCAGCATGATGCTCTGCGTCAGGGTACTGTCGAGAAAAATAATGACATCAAGTTGCTACAATCGCAATTACAGCAAAGTGAGAACAAGAGTGAGAGGATCAAGAGTGAATTTGAGTCTTTTAGAAGACTGCAATCTGAGTATGATTCGACTTTGCGACAACTGCATCAAAGTGAAGAAAAGAATCAAAGAATCATGAACGAGTTTGAATCCATCTTAGCCGTGCAAACTGAATTCGAATCAACCTTGCGGCAATCACAACAGGACAACGACGTGAGTTTGACTTTTGGGAGTTGAATATATGCTAATCACGACAAATAGCAACTGCAAAGAGCGTTGCAACTTTCTCATAAGAAACAAAATGACTATGAAGACGCCTGTCTTGACCTCGAGAAGGAGCGCGACGAATTGAGAATAGAGCGCGACAACATAAGACAATCCAATGAAGTGCTAACGTATGATATTAAATCAGTCGAAGATCGTCGCAGCCAAGAATCCAAATCACGTAAAGTCGATATGAACAATCTCAAAGAAGTGATCAGTGATCTAGAGACAAAACTGAGTGTGATGAAGGACGACCTTCTAGCGTCGCAGCAAGAGGTAGATTTGTTAAGCAGATCACGTAGTGACAAGACAGTGATTGAGCATGTACACGTCCTTGAAGAGGCGAAGCGCGTAACAGACCGACAGCTCAGAGAATCACGTATGGAGATCACGAACATGTCAACCCAGATGAAGTCAGCTGAAAAGATCAAGTCTCGTCTAACTCCGGAACAGCTCACTGAGCTGGAAATTCGACTGCGGACTCCTACAGATAAGCGTCTCCTCGAACTTGAGCAAATAATCAAAATAAAGGAGAAGGATTGCGAGAATGTCTACAAGAAACTGGAAGAGGCGAGAAATGTGATTGAAGTGGAGAAGAGGCGTTATCAGCGTGATCTCAAGATGCAAGAGGAGGATAATCGCCGATTGGAAGAAGATATAGAAGTGCTAAGGGCGCGGAGTAGGACTATGTCTAGCGGTTTAGATAGGGATTCAGCGTTAAGAGCGTCTAACCGGAGTCTGCATGGTAATCACCATTCACAATCTATATCTTCTATGCCACCACCGCCTACACCGCCAATCTCGTATACACCATACTCATCTAAACCTACACCTGAACTAGGCAAGCGCTACTCATTTGAATCAGCAAGGGCTTCCTTCAACAAAATGTAACACAAATCAAACATGTATTAAAAATTTTTAGTAGGAATGTAAATTTTAGCATGATTAGATAAATTAATGGATTTCGCAGAAGGGTTTGAATATGTTTCAATTAACCTCGATGTCTTTCTTTGTAAATACTCAATTGAACTGACGTCTCTTGGTGAAATATTTGAGTATTGACGGAAATTGAATCTGACGAACGCGATCCACGATTTACGATGATCATGCGGCTTAGAGAGTGCCATCCTGAGTGCCTGTCTGTAGAGGCTGACCGTATGAAGTTGAAGACCTGATTTACGCATTACTGGAGAGACTTTGTATGGATCAATGCATTGATTGATGTTTAGAATGTAATAATAACGGGATTGCCACAAAAGTTATTCAATATCCCTTCAACGTTGACGTCGATGGCCAAGAGGGAAGTTCAGAGTAATTTATACCTAGACACGATCAACCGCCACCTGCTAGATTTCGATTTTGAGAAAGTTTGTAGTGTTTCGCTTACGAATAAATCTGTCTACTGCTGTCTCGTTTGTGGGCGCTACTTTCAAGGCCGGTCCAAGTCGTCACCAGCTTATAACCACTCAATCGACGAAGAGCATCATGTCTTCTTGAGCTTAGACAGGAAAGAGTTCTACATTCTCCCAGAGGATTACAAAGTAGAGGACAACTCGTTGAGCGATATTGTCCGAGTTCTTCAACCAGCATACACCGGGGAAGAGGTCAACCAGCTCGATAACGCAGTGATAAGCCATGACCTCACTAAACAACCCTATTTGTGTGGATATGTCGGTTTGAACAATATGAAGAAGAACGATTACGCGAATGTTATCATTCATACGCTCACACATATCAATCCGCTCAGAAATGCATTCCTCCTCATGGATACTTACAGGAGCGAGCTATTGGAGCGCTTTAGCACGCTAAATAAACGAATGTGGAATAAGCATCTATTCAAATCTCAAGTCAGTCCTCATGAACTATTGGAATTGATGTCAAAGCTGTCGAAGAATAGATTTAATATACAGAACTCAGCGGATCCAGTCGAATTTCTTACATTTCTTCTCAATTCCCTTCACAAGGATTTAGGTGGTAGCAAGAAGCCTGATAGTAGTGTGATATACAGGTTATTTCAAGGCATGTTGCGAATAACGTCGCAGAAAATCATTCAGCTCGACGAAAATGAAGAGATTGATAAGAAGTTCATAGAAGAGGATAAGATAGCTATCAATACCACACCATTCCTCATCTTATCGTGCGATTTACCGCCCAAACCTGTTTTCAGTGACGATGAGAACATTATTCCACAGGTATCGTTAGCTGAGGTGCTAAGAAAGTATGACGGAGTGCACAAACAAGAGCAATTCGGTCAGAGACGGTCTTACCAATTGGTTAAGTTGCCCAAGTATCTCATAATACACTTCAAGAGGTTTTCCAAGAACAAATTCAAGGAGGAGTACAATCAGACAATCATAAACTACCCAATCTCGGGTGTAGACTTTAAGGATTACGTGGAGAATAGTGATGGTGACGAGAGTACAGTATATGATCTGGTAGCGAATATCTGCCACGAGCACGATAACAACAACAGCAGTAAATGGAAATCGCAGCTCAAGTCGCCGTTGACAAATGACGATGGCACTAACAAGTGGTACCAGTTGCAGGATTTGTTTGTTGAAGAGATCGACAGACGACTTATTTTCCTTGGTGAGACATATTTGCAGGTGAGTTGAGTGAAGGCGTTGAAGGAGATAGAAAAGCTGAAAATGAAATGCAGGTTTGGCAACAGAGAGATTAGATAGTTTAAATAGCGGCATCATACAGCAACTAAAAATAAATTGACGTAACTGATAGAAAAATGTAAAAATAGCAACGTAACTTATACAAGAGTCTGTTTGCGTCTCTTACAAATAAACGTTCACAATATGCCATATGGTTTCTGTGAAATATACTGCTCAGCCAGGTGACAAAAGAGGAGACCATGTATTCTTCGCAGCGATAATAGTAGCAGTGCGTGAGTGTGATGCTTAGTGGAGGTAAACGAATAACATAAAGACAGTTATAATATGCGCTGGATATCTGGCTGTGTTTTTTATAATATACAGGCGTAAATACCGAAGTATGGATGAGGAAGAAGCTGCCAACCAAGTTGTAGACGAAAGCGGGAGCACAAGTAGCAACAGTAGTACAAGTAGAAACAGCACTAGCACCAGTACCAAAACACCCCCAACGATACCCACGGATCATGTAAAGGAACGATAGAAAATGTATTAATAATTACTGGAATTCAGGCTGGCAGTGTTCACCAGGACCATAAGGTTTTTCAGTGAGATTGGTCAGACCGCTGCTGTTCTCGCAGGTGTGTCTGGTAGATTGAGGGCCGATGTGAGGCTGCTTACCATTCTTGAGCTGGTTAATGATATCGAGTGTGCTCTTGTTGTTGAGATCCTCGTAGTAGTGATCATTGATCTGCATCATTGGAGCGTTAGAGCAAGCGCCCAAGCATTCCACCTCAAGGAGAGTGAACTTCTTATCATTAGTCGTATGGCCTGGCTTGACGTGCAAATCCTTTTCGATAGCGTGCATGATATCGTAAGCACCGTTCAACATACACGGCGTTGTAGTGCAGACTTGTACGAGGTGATCACCCACTGGTTCCCTATTGTACATAGTATAGAACGTGGCTACCTCGTAAACTCTCATTGGAGGTACCTCGACAATCTTTGCCACCTCGTTCATACAGCTTATGCTTGTCCAACCTTGGTTTTGGCGTTGAGCGAGATCTAGAAGGGGCATAATAGCGCCTTTCTTGTACTGTGGAGGATATCTGCTTAATATCTCTTTTGTAATTGGTTCATTTTGGCTGTTGAATTTGAATGGGATCTGCTGCGTGTTAGAGTGGCTTTTTCTGTTCCGCCTGCACCCACTGAGCTGTTGTTGTATTCCGTGTCTCTGTGCTGTGTCCCGTCAGCCATACGAAGCCATTTAGACACCCCAACTAACCACAAAGAGTGCATCTGAGCTGCGTGCGGTGGACGTAGAGATACTCCTCAACGCTCTGCCACTCCTTGCTAAATTTCTTACGCCTCTAATGCTCAACATCCTCAACGTCCAATAGAAACCCTCTATTTACTCGGTGTACAACGGAAATATAAAAATACAAAAATTAAATTAGCGCTTCTACAAATCTTGCATCTCTACTGGTATTTTACTGTAATTAGATTTACCCATTCGATTCTTTATAAAGCTTGGGATGTGCTGGTAAATGTTTAATTCACGATATTTGACGTAGTTGGATATAAAGTATATCGGCACGCTGAGACCAATGAATCCAAATGCCGCTGCAGCTTCGAGTGGTGCAGCGAACACGGGCATACCTAGTGATTGCGAGTGAGTATGAGTATGAGTCGGTTTATCCAACAGCGATGCCCAACTCACATAACAAAAATATAGTAAGTGACGAGAACACCATCGGTACAGTTATCCACGTCTTGTAAGGTCTCTCTAAATCCGGTTCCTTAATCCTGAGCACCACGACAGCAAGCGCGCAGAGCAGGTAGAAGTACCAAATCCCGATAGAGTAGAAATTGACCAGAGTCTGAAAACCTCCGCCGATGACGACATAAATGCAAGTGAGGAGTGTCTGAAAGATTAGTGCGTTGACCGGTGTGTGTGTTTTGGAGTTGAAAGTAGACAGAAATTTGGGCAAGAAGCCTGCCTCAGTATGACTACCCGCGACGCTGCTTATTAGACGCGACGTCGTCAATGCACCGCTGTTGAGTGCGCCGAGGGCCGATATCGATATTAGGATAGTCGCTACCCCACTTCCCACTTTCCCTAGCACACTGTTGCCCAGATCGAGCGCCACAGTGTTAGACATGGCCACCTGTGACACAGGCATCGCAATCAGATAAGACATGTTAGCGAGTAGGAAGATGATGATTGTGAGTGGCATTGAGACGTGAATAACGAAAGGAAGGCTTCGCTGCACGTTTATCATCTCTCCAGCTACATAATTGGACTGGTCCCATCCGTCGAATGCCCACAGTGCCGAATAGAGCGCTAGAGCTGTGCTGGAAGCACTCACATTGGTACCGGTAAACGCATTGCTCGGTGCGAGATTATCAGAACCTCCGCGCACAGCAGCGACTATGCCGAGCACTACTACGAAAATGATAGCGAGTATTTTGATCAACATGAACAGCGTCTGCGTCGTGGTGGAGAGAGGCGTAGAAGCCATATTCAATGCAGAGACAATGACAACGCCAGCACACGCTATCAATCTTGTGAGCCATGACGGTATGTCATCGGTGCTGGGTACACTATCGGCTGTGCTAGGTAGGAGCCAGAAGAAACGGGAGAGGTACTCGCCAAAGATGGTAGCTATGAGAGCAGCCCCTGAGGGCTTTATGATTGAGATGGAAGTAAAAGTAAAGGTGAAGGATGTCAGAGGACCATATGCATAACTCAAGTAAGCCACTGGACCACCGGAAACAGGAAGAGCAGTTCCAAGTTCAGCGAAACAACTGGCACCCATCCAAGCTAATAATCCACCGACTGCCCATGTAACCAAACTGGCACCAGGGGATCCAGTCAGACTGAGTATATTTCCAGGACTGCTGAAAATACCAGAACCGACGATCATACCGAATACAAGTGACACGCCACCGAGTCTGCCAATCGTACGACTAGGCGAGACTGCAGCGTTACCACTAGCACCGTCATTGTCTTCGCTGCTACTGAGGAGAGGGATGGGATTGATAGCGAAGGCATTAGAAACGCTGGTTGCACGTTGCCTGGAGTGGTGGAATCGCTGCGAGGAACTTTGCGAAGCCATAAGCGGCGAGTTGACATGGCCCTCGTCCATCACAGTGTAAGTCTGAGCACTAGAATATCAAGTCAATAACATCAAAATTTATATCCAGATACGTCTAACGATATATATATTCATTTCAGTTTACAAGAGTATGTCCGTCTGTGGGTTTTGCACAACCGTTAAAGCCAAATTGACATAGCGGAATGCTTAGGAATCACAGACGTGGCATGAGCGAGACCATAGCGATCCACCATCGACGTTGTTTGCACAACGGACGGCCCGATCTAACCTCAACTCACGCCATTGCTCTCCAGTACGTCAACAGGTGCTATACGTTACACCGGCTAAAGCTGTCACTGACTAACGCCACCATTCAGTTGAATTTGTATAGTGTTGAGTGCATGACCACTCTCATATACTACGTACTGATGGTTTGAAACATAAGGCGAAATCCCTCTTTATATATTTGCAGATTTTCACCATTTTTTATTATTAACACTTAGAAAAAGAAAATTTGGTATTCATTCTTAACTCAGTTTATTCAGTCTAGACGGTTGAAATGATTTCCTCCGCTTTGTTCAATGCTTCAACCATCTTGATACATTCTTTTCTCCTCTGCACGACGAAATCTGACTCTTTCATCAAATCATCGAGCACCTCTGTCTTGTAGAGCTCTTGTAAAAGCTCTCTCTGCAAGTGATCCTTCGATTTTTGCACGAGCGTGTATGAGATCGCTTTGGGTACCATGTCGATCATTTCCCTCTTGACGATATTGAAATATGACGTTATCAGCATCTTAATCACCTCCGTCTCAAGTAGCTCTCTGTCGTTAAGAGCACTCTGTGGTCTTATTTGTGGTGGTGGTGACTCCATCACTGGTCCCTTCTTCTTCTGCCCGGTACCACTGCCCGCTTTGGAGAAGAAGGAGCCAAAGAACGATGGTTCTTCCTTCTTAGTGTCTACATCTAAATCACGATTGTTGTTCAACACACCTGGTGCCAATTTTCCTGTCTTAGGGTCCACAGCTGGTGGAGGAGCCTTTTGTGCTTGTTGTTGGCGCTCTGTCACCAATGCCATAGCTTTGTGTCCTGATAAGAAATCTGGGTGTGTGGTATTAATGTAACACGCTTGCATGTTGACCATGTCAGTCACGAGTTTCTGTGTTGGCTCCATTGCTTTCTTGAACGAGGCAATGACTACACTATTGAACCTCTCCTTTAATGCTGGATAGCGCTTGAAAGATTGTATCTTGCTGAGTAGTTGACTAAGTATTCTAATCAGCTCTTCATAAATAAGTGCACAACACTTGATGGCTGGATCCTCCAATCTTCTAATCTGCTGCTTGACAATAATTTCGAAAGCGGTAGTACCAACGAAGAGTGCAGGTGTCGATCCAGAGCTGTTATATAATATAGTGCGAATATCTCCGTCTTTTACTTGATCGAACGGATCAATAGACTTGACACCATTGTTGAATAGCTCGTGGTAACAGAAAGAAATTCTTGCACCACCTGATAACTCTTGCAAGGACAAGTCATGGGTGTTACCGTCGATAACTGTTCTGAATTCATTACAGAAGTCTGTTATGACCGTCAGGACAACATTCGCTCCGTTGTCCTGTCCATGTGTACCACCTAATGATTGTAATTCAGATTGGAATTTGGCCAATGAGGCAGAAATTTTTGATTTAATGTCTGGTAAGCACGTTTTGATGTGATGCATGAGTATCATGTTCAACTTCCTTGTCAAGAAGGGTGTACCGCAGTATTGAGCTTTAGATCTATAGCTGTTGTGATTTTCAAAGAAGGCTCTTTCAGTTTCTAATGCTGAGGAGATAGCTCTCTTCTGCTCTATATCGCGTTGACCTCTGTTGACGACAGGAACATAACCTAGTCGGAGGGGGATGACTCTACCGGCTAAAATATCGACAACATCGGTACCCTGGTCCATCAAGTCAACTTTAGAAAGTACACCAATAGTTCTCGTGCCGTCTGGATCAACTTCTCTAGCCAATTTGAGACCATCAGAGTTAGCTAAGTCAGTATTTGCAGCAGTAACAGCAAGAATGACGGCATTAGGCTTGGAAACGAACTTGTAGAGCATGTCACGTATCTGTCTTTCAATGTCGCGTGGCTGATCACCGACAGGTACGCGAGTCATTCCCGGCAAGTCAACGAGGGTCAAAGTGAGGACGTTAGGGGAGAAGATCCTCAAGTTAATTGGGAGTGGACTGATACCAGCATTTTTACCAGTCTTTAATTCTGTATCATTGACAATTTCATCCCTGATCTTGTCGAAATCGTGGAATTTTTCGCCTGGCAAGTGAAGGAATTCGCCCCATTCATCTGGGTTGTTTTCATTTGAGCGCTCTTCTGGGATTTAGTGAGTGAGTGGTTGGGCAAAGACGACAGCGGATGAGACGCACCACTGTCTTCTTTTTTAGCGGTGGCAGGTCTGTGGATAAGTTGAAGAATCTGGATGGACGAGTGAATATAGATTTCAGCCAATCAAAGACAACCAACCAAAGGTCTTCTTGTAACGATACCAGTGCCACGTGGAAGGAAGTCTCTACCGACCTGTGAATGGATTAGCGGGTTATCTTGTTAAGCTGTGTTTACCCACAATATTCTAAAATCCATCAATATTAATGATATTTAAGCGGGGATAAATGCACCAACCTCTAAAACAGATGATTTACCGCTGAGAGTGGATGAATGAGTACGTGTATAGCCAAGTAAACAGCAAATTACCTCGACTGAGATCCAATGACTGTAATTTGTGGTAAATCGATTGGATTTGGGATTCCAACATTTGTGAAAGCGTCCTTGGGTTTGGATGTGTGAGATGACCAGTATTCAAATATCCCCAATCACAACCCACTTGAAGCTTATTCACAATACCAATTATTTGATGATCCATCGTCTGCGTACAAGTGATGACGGTATCAGTCAAACAAGTCTGAGATATAAATTTGTTTCTATTTATTTTACAAATCTCTGTTTTAATAATTTATCAAGCTTAGGCCAGATTTCGTCCGATGTTTTACCACTGAGTGTTTCCAACCTTGAACCATTATTATTATAGTACTCTAATAATGGCTCTGTCTTGCTTTTATACGTATCTAATCTCTTCTTGAACGTTTCCTGTTCTTTGGTTTAGCAGCGCAAGTATTTACCTCGATTCACGTACCACATTGTCATCATCCCGCTGTCTCAACGACTCCCCCGTAACATCATCCTTACCTGCTACACGTGGTGGATTGTACCCCAGATTATACACGCGTCCACTGGCCTCATGTATCCAGCGCTCTGAATTTTTTGAGTTGTACACCAGCTTTACATATCCTCACTCACCCTGTATACGCTCGAGTATCACACTATCCGGTACATCCAGATTGACGACGAGATTTATCGTGTCTTCTTTCAGCTGCCCATCGAGTAACTCGCCCTGACCTAGGGTACGCGGAAACCCGTCGAGAATCCAGTGATTATGCTGTACGCGTTCGAGCTCGCTCGTAAGTAATCTACACATTACATCGTCTGGTAAAAGTCCTTGGAGTGTGTTGAATAGAGTAGATTTCTTATCCTGTTCCCCACTTACCACCCTGCTTTATCACACTATCCGCCTTCTGACCTAGTGCCGTACCCTTTCTTACATTTGCACGAAGTATATCACCCGCTGAGAGCACATTTACTTTGTATGTATCCAGATTCTCTAGCTTCTGCGACATGGTCCCCTTGCCCGATCCCTTCACAATCATGAGCGTGTCGTCACCTTCTGCACCCACACGCACAGGCTTACCGAAGAGCAGCAGACGCATCTTATTCGATGCTGATGCCCATGAACAGAATGTTGATTTCATTGTTTGGTTTATCTTATATCCAATGACGGTGCGGTAACAACCCATTTGAAACCAGAAACATAAATAAATATCTTTGTCTATACAATTCAACCTTATCATGCAAATACCTTGGCTGTTTCCAATTCCCCAGCCAATCCTCTGTCGCGTTTGCTGATATCTTTCTTGCGCTGCTTCGACTCCTCTTGTGTGTCCTTCCTGTTGCTGTACTTTTCTGCCTTCTCCTCTCTCTCCATTTTGCGTATTTTGGTAGGAGGCAAGAATTCTGCGACCGTGTAAGTGGTGTAATAAGCTACACAGTATACGTTTACGCACCTGGATTCGAAAACACTGTTGGGCCACCGAAAGAGCCTTCAAATATACGTATTGGGGTGAGCACGAAACGTGGACCAATTTCAACCAGTGTAGTTGCAGGAGATTTATTCTTGTTTCCGAGTTCAGCCTTGATTGTCGTCGCATCTTTCTCCACAATCTGAGTCTAGTGTGAGTTGTGTACAACGCCAAGTAAACGAACCAACCTGGTGAGACCTGAACCAGATCTTGCCATCCAGATAAGAGAACGAAAGGACGTGATCGAAGAAAGGTTTAATGCGACGGGATGAAGTAGGAACGCCGAATGTCTAAGTAAGTTTGTTGATTAGCGGGTGCTTCGATAGTCTCACGACAGCCTCCTCTCACCTGCGTAAACAGTTCCTTCAAAAGCTGTAACCACGGCTCACTGTCAAACTCCTCACCGAAGCTTAGAATACCCCTTGATCCCTTCAAACAATTTCCAGTCATTTTCAGCTCATCCATCGTATGCAAATTCTGCAAGTGAAATTTAACCGATGGTCCATTAGGCGCCTTAGCCAACCAGAGATAGAGATCAGTAATTTGAGCGTGATGTTTGGTTTCGAAGAACATTATATTATTGCAGCTTGCCAAATCAGCGAGTTCGTTGAGAGTTGCGAGTGACGTCTTTGAGCTGATTTTTGAGTCTGTAAAAGCAAATTAGAGATAAATCACAAACAAACAACGTTATTACCTTTCTTGGTGTGCGGGAGAAGCGCTTGGAGATCGTTCATGAGGTGTCGATAACGCTCGGTGACACCTCTGCTCGAGAGTACAAGCACACGCTGCTTATTCTGCACCTTCTTTGCCTGTGGCGCGTTGCTGTCATTGTCGTCCTCCGCCGTTCTCTTCTTCGATAGCGCTTTCAATTTCGTCGACATGACTGTGTGTGAGCAAGGTGTTATTTCACGTTTAAATTGGAGATGCAGGGAGATGAGCGGTGCGGGCGTAATTGCGGTCATTCGTCGGTATCGCTCCTACCTCATCTCCCCACTCCGCTCAGTTTGCGTGCCAGTCGAGCAGATTGCGTTGGGGAATGGCACCGACGGGCAAGAGAGTATATGAGCATAATATCCACCAGCACACAGCAAGATGCGCACAGAAGCTTAAAAAATTTATACAACCTTCTCTCACACTCACACTCACGTTCAGCACTCTCCTGCGCAACAACGACGAACAGCAATCAGGAAACGCACGGGAAACGTAGGAGCTTGTTAAAATGATTCTAGCCAATCCTATACCAAACAAAGCCAATGATATTGCAGCACTTTCTGCGTGCGTTTTACTGGATTTCTGCGACGAATCAAACAACTCACAACACACAGCGATCCTTTCGAAAGCGCTGCAGAAGATTTGGGACTCACGTCGCCGAGTATCTCACACCCGGCTACAGCCACACTGAACTCATTCAACGCTGTCAACCTCTCGAGAACGTCAACTCCAAACCACTCCCATTCATCTCTGCCCTCTCCCAGGAATACAGCGGCACACGTCCAGACAGGGAAGTATCTTCTTCTCGCTCAACCTGGAATGGAAGAGGATAAAATTTACTCGCTGATCATACAGCTCCAGCAGCCATCAACTCGTGAGACTGCCCTGCTTGAATTATCAAAGAGGAGAGAAGCTTACGATGATCTTGCATTGGTTTTATGGCACTCTTTCGGTGTTATGAGTGCCTTGTTGCAGGAAATTGTTGCCGTTTATCCACTCCTTAGCCCTCCTTCACTCACCGCTCACGCCAGCAATAGAGTCTGTAATGCACTCGCTCTCCTTCAGTGCGTAGCCAGCCACAATGAGACGAGAGGTTTGTTTTTATCTGCACACATACCGCTGTTTTTATATCCATTCCTCAACACCACTTCGAAGTCTCGCCCATTTGAGTATCTCAGGTTGACATCCCTCGGTGTGATTGGTGCGCTGGTCAAACAAAATGATAACAGCGAAGTGATCAATTTCCTTCTCTCAACGGAGATTATTCCACTCTGTCTCAGAATCATGGAAACAGGATCCGAGTTATCTAAAACGGTGGCAATCTTTATCGTACAGAAAATTCTACTCGATAATTTAGGTTTGGCATATATATGTCAAACTTACGAGAGATTCTATGCCGTTGGAACAGTTCTCGCGAATATGGTTAATCAATTGGTCGAGACTCAGGCAGTCAGACTTTTGAAACATGTAGTTAGATGCTACTTGCGTTTATCTGATAATCCAAGAGCTAGAGAGGCACTTAGGGCATGTCTCCCTGAACCGCTCCGTGATGCAACATTCTCAGGACTACTTAAAGGCGACATGGTCACAAAGAGATGTCTGGCAACTCTCCTACTTAACTTGTCTGACAGAATTGAGTGAGAAGAGTTCAAGTGTATTTTTTGGATGTAAACCAAGAAGAAAGCGCGTGTATTCAGTGTATCAACAGAAAGAAGAAAATTGCATAACAAGAAAAAGAACGAGAAGAATAATAATAATAAGAAAATCAAGACAAGATCAATCATTAATTACTACAACTTACTTAAAGCCAACGATAATCTTCAAATGGATATAAACTCCTTAACTATAACTACACTTGTTCTCCTCTTGCCCACAAACATCTGCACAAACAACGTTTTATATTTAATTGTATCAATGTATCAAGTCATTTTGTCAAGAAATCAAGAGTAATTGTCTTGTTAATAATCTGAAACGGGAATCTGTGCAGTAGCAGCTGACCAATCCAAGTTATTGGCGAGGGTAGTAACGTCAATGTTACGTTTACGGAGGTAATCGAGAGCAATATGTTCAACAGCAGACTTAATCACACCTATGAGAGCACCTTCAATCCAAATGAGGTAGTTGACTTTATCGTCGCCTTGACGTGAACTTTCCTCCTCAATCCAGCTGAGTGGAAGGGATTGTGAGAATGATGCACATTCGACACCATGTGCGCTATCTACGAGAGTGAGCATGAATCGTATACACACGTATTCCTTTTCTGCGCTTTCAACTGAATTCATTTGCACAACTGGGCGTGGACTGCGTTCTGTGTAGGGCTGTACGCGTAGTTTGATGGGTGTGTGAGGGTTTGCGTGAGATTGTGTAAGCACGTCATGCTCATTGTGAGTATTACTATCTTGTCTTTTATCTTTCTCGTTCTGCGCATGCGCATGCTCATGGACAATCTCATTATCACTCTCATTCTTCTTGCTTAGCGCCAGCTTCTTCTTCTCCTTCAACTCAGCCTCTGCTTCGAGAAGGGCGTTGAGGCGTTCTTGTGTGAGTTGAGTGGCGGCATCCAAATTATCGAGAAGGTTGATATCGCGTGTAGATTCTGTACTCTTCTGCGTATTAACTACGAGCTCGCCGCCCTCGATAAGTTCGAGAGATTTAGCCAGACCCGCGTAGACGACATCCGCAATACCGTCGTAACCCACCATATCATGGGACACCCACACATCGAGTACCTCAGCAGAGGCGAGGGGGGGAACGACCGCTTTGTATACCTCACTGAGAGCGTGTTTGCCTTGTGTGGCGAGATCATGGGCTAATCTATCGAGACCCGCACCTTTAACGAATCCTCCAAGCCTGCTCTTCCATTCGGGTGCTGGAGTGTGTGTGGCCGTAGTAGCTGTGTGCTCGGCTACTTCACGCGCTTGTGCTAGCGCTGCTTGAGCCTGTGTCTGTGCGGCAGTGAACCAACTCCCCCACCCAGATGGCGGTGCTGGTGGTTGGGTTGGAGCGTGCTCTGCTTGAGGCTCAGGCTGTTGTGGTGTCTCTGCATCACCGCTCAACTCCCTCTGCTTGCCTTTATCTGGGGCTGGCGATGTGCTCACCGGTGTGGCTCCTCTGCTGCTCTTCTTCAGCGCCAGGTTTTGGAGGTAAGCGATAGTCTTCTCTGCCTCGTCTGTAGTGGCTGATGGCGGCTCTTGGTTCGCTGTGAATTCCTCTACATTTACCTGCGCTTGTGTCTCCGGGTGCTGCTCTGCCTCGTGGCGTGCATCCTGGCTTACAGCCACTGCTGCGCCCGGTGTCTTGAGGTCTGTGTCTAGCTGGTCAAGAAATGAGAGTACTTCCTTTGAGCGTGTTGTTTTCGAATCGTTGCTCATTCAAGGTGATGGCGGTGATGGCGATGCTAAGCGTTCTAACGTCATTACAAAGAAAACAAATAAGATAATAAAATATTAAACTATAATAACATCTATCCCCTCCTTTTCTTCTGCTTGCGCGCTGCATCACCCACTTGGCGATCAAATCTACCACGTTTAGCATTTGACGAGTGAATATCCGAGTTATCAGAGTGAGGTCTTTTGCTATTCACAGCCTTAGCTCTATCGAGAGCACTGCCCTTCTTAGCCATCTTATCGAGTTCATCGTAGATCGGTGTCTTATTCCCGCTTTTCTTGGGTTTCGAGTCGACAGCGCGGAGAACGTCATCGAACTCGCCATCCAATCCACCAACACGCCTTCCCTTCAACACACCACCACCACCGAGAGCGATATCAGCCTCATCGCGCAATCTCCTATTACCTTCCTTCCTGTTCTGCACCAGACGGGTGAAGTTTTCTTCTTCGTAGTCGTTGATATGCTGTAATTCCCGTGCACGTTTAGAGGAAAGCTTGGAAGGAACAGTGCCAAGACCGGTGGAAGACTGCTGGGTAACATCCATCCCGCCAACCAGCTCAGGGAGGATAGCCTGTGGAATAACCTTCTTATCTTTCCGTGGAGCCTTTTCAGGATCAGTATAAGGAACGGCAGCGAGTTTAGGTGGTTTATATACGCCTGAATGCTCAGCACCGTCTTCATCTGGCTCATCTGGCTCATTCCTGCGCTTGTCGATGAGTGCAGATGGATTTGGTTTAAAAGCGAGTGGATCGATGGATGTGGAATCCTGCACAGCCTCACCACTAGCTGCTCCAATCAACTTATCAATTCGATAACGCAGCTTGGATTGGAGAGCACGCGTCTTGTCGTGTACGATGCGCTGCTTGATAAGATCGTCGACTAGATCGCCGGATTGGATTTGAGCAGCGCCTCTTGATTGAATGGAGGATTTCTGAAGCCTGAAGGTGGATAGGAGGGCAAGGTGGTGTATATATTGAGATAGGGTGTTTGATTTACTTGTCAACAGTGGAAGACCAGCGCTGGGAATTTCAAGAGAATCAATCTGCTCAAGGACGGGTTTGATGGAGTTGATAGATTTGTTTATCTCCGCCAGGCATTGTTTTGTATGCGAAGACATGGCTGTTTGATTAGAAGAGAAGTGCTTGTAAATTTCAACCACCACGACGAAATTCAAGTAAAATGGGAGTATTAGAAAAGGTTTGTAGAGTAAACTATTAAGTTACAAGTTGTTCTAAAACCTAGCAGATACAGGAAATTGAAGGTTTGTGTTACTAGCCAGGGCTATTAAACTTACTTGAATACAAGATGAGATGAGGAGGTATGTCGATCGCAGTGTTGCAAGGCACTAGCAGCTAATTCAAATTCAAGAACTCAGAAGAATAAAAATACTGAATATCACCTTGGTCAACTCAAAGCGAAGCTAGCAAAACACAGGCAGCAACTACTCGAGCCATCGACCAAATCATCAAAACCAGGTGAAGGTTTCGATGTAATGAAGGTGTTTATAGTGTTAGCATACTAAACTACCCACTCACTCCCTCCAGAGCGGTGACGCTCGTATCGTCATGATCGGTTTCCCTTCCGTCGGTAAATCCACGCTTCTCTCGAAAACAACAAAGACAGAATCTGCTACGGCCGATTACGAGTTCACTACTCTTACCGCTATTCCCGGTGTACTCGAACACCAAGGTACACGCATACAGCTACTCGATTTACCCGGTATTGTTGAGGGTGCTTCTGCTGGTAGAGGTCGTGGTCGACAGGTCGTCAGTGTTGCGAAAACTGCTGATCTTGTTTTGATAGTACTCGACGCAACAAAGTCTTTGGAACAGAGACGTTTGTTGGAGTATGAGGTTGGTTGTCGTCTTTTACATTCATACTCACTCACACTCTCACCCACTCCCAGCTCGAAGCTGTCGGTATTCGCCTTAACAAGAAAAGACCCGATGTCCAGATAAAGAAGAAGAAGACAGGCGGTGTGACTATCAATTGTCCTGTTGAATTGACCCACACTGACCAGAGAACGTTGAGGTGCGTGGTTAGTTTAATCATTTACCCACACTCACTCTCCAAAGAACCATTCTCCAGGAATACAAAATACACAATGCAGATATTATGATCAGGGAGGATGTCAGTAGGATTCATAAACCCTCCGCGCACTAACCCTATTTTCAGATAACAGCGGACGATTTCATTGATGTCGTTCTCGGCAATGTGGGTGAAGGTATCATTTGAATCACCCACACTAACACAAACACTTCAGAGGAAGTACATGAATTGCGTCTACGCATACAACAAGATAGACGGCGTGTCGTTGGAGGAGGTGAATAGACTGGCACACGAGCCGAACACAGTTCCTCTGTCTTGCGAGATGGATCTCAACCTCGATTACCTCATCGAGCGCATGTGGGAGCAACTAGACCTTCTCAAAATATATACAAAGAGACGTGGCACTCATCCTGACCTTAACGATCCGGTTTGTATGCGTAAGGGTGCAACTATCGAACACGTCTGTCACTCCATTCACCGCTCACTCGCTGAATCTTTCAAATATGCTATCGTTTGGGGAAAATCGAGTAAATTCAATCCACAACCTCAGAAGGTTTCTTTCACACATCGAGTAGCTAATGAAGATGTAGTCACCATTGTAGCGTAGTATAACGAAAACCATCACCTAATAGAAAATGTTCATATATTCAACAAAGATTTGCTTTGAATTAATAACAATAAGAGTGTAAAAAATAAAGTTGAAAAAGAGACTACATTTCACTATGTTTGTACGTGTGTAGGATAAAGGCATTATTTTCTTGTAGATGAGGTGTTTTGTTGGTTTCGTTTAATTGTCCGGGTTTGAAATGTGCCATTATGCAGTTATTTTGAAAGCCTGAATGGAATAAAAGAGAAGTTACCTAGATACGTTGGCAGATATCGCACGAAAAGTCTACCTGGTTCTTAATTACTAGTGGTACGACAATCAGCGCAGCCAAGCAGCATACTACAGCAAGGTAGAGTAACGAGTAGCGGAGTACAATTGAACGTCTCTGAGCGCGCACCTTGAATGAGAAAATTGGTGGGCGGATCTGCTTAGAAGGTCTAAGCCAGAACAAGCCCGTTGAATGAATCTTGTCAATGAAAGGAATGAGCAGTGGAATAGACAGCCCAATGAGTATTATATGACAGCAAATAAGGTCAGCTGCGAAAAGTGAACACTCGACAATCTTCACGAGGAATTCTCTCAACGGTTGAGAGAATGCATGGCGACCGAGACCTGTCGACCACCATCTACCACTCCACCAAGCCCTATTAGCCTCGTCGTTCTTGAACTCACGAGTGAGGAAAAGTGAAATAATCGTCTTGAAAAACGCTCTCTGTATAGCGATAGCTGCAAGCATACCAATGACAATGTTTGCCACTCTCCATCTCTCCAGATACCAAATAAACTCGAAGAAACCGAGCAATCCAAGCACAGCGAGACAGTGCACTGACGCAGCAATAACTGCAGGGAACTTTGGCATTACGCGTGTGAGCATTGGACCGAGGAAAAGCGATGTGAGGAATCCAAGTGCGAGAATTGCCGCGTTCCATACGACCGGACCGAATGCGAAAATGAGCACTCTGACAAACGCACTGCCTTGCTGGTTACCGTTGACTGGGAACGATTCCATATACATGTACGCTACTGCCAAAATAATTGCCATCGAAATCGGCCAGAGTATTTCACTGAATATGACTGTGCGCCAGCCTGCACGCGCAACATCACCTGAAAGCTTCTCGGATGGGTGACCAAGACGCTTTTTCTTGTACCCTGTGATACGAGTGCGCGAAAGACGACAGTAGCCGATCCATGAGTTGGCGTGCGAGCGTGAGTTACCTCTGCTCATCCATCTCAAGAATTCACGGTAGTCAATAATGAAGTCGCTGCGGGAAAATTGATGTGGATTGAACAAGAATGGCGCGATACTGCAGCTTGTTAGCGGAATATTCTAAAACAAAAACACCACTCACGTCAATGCCAACGACGAAATCCAGAAGTAGATAATGTGTGGAATCCAATTAGTCAACGTTACGAAGAGCAACATCATCAACGTTCTCATACCCATGTAGATCGATGGACCAGCGAATCTAGAGAACAAAATAGGGAAACTGATTCTAGATGTTGCGAAACCACGACCAGTAGCGATATATCTAGCACCACCGAATGTCAATGAAGTAACGATGGAGTGACGGTAGATTTGCGTAGAGAAGACCTCGAAAAGTGGCGAAAGCGACAAGAAGTGTTTGGCTAATCTGACTACAGCCCTGAATGCACCTCTCTCAGTTAGCTCTGTAAGGAACAATGGCAAGAAAGCGATCATGAAAACCAAGAAAATGGAAATGATGGTTCTTTCGATCCAGCCAAAGAGCGGTGACAAGTTATAGCAACCTGGTTGTCCACCAAGGTAATCACCAGAAGAAGAATATTCACAGATATCCAGCGTCTCATTCAGTGTACCAAGGTAAACCATTGTCGTGGTAATGATCTGAACGGAGAAAATTACGAGAATGTTGTTCACGTGGAAACCACCATGACCGTAGTAGAAAGTGAGGAACCTGTCCATAGGCAATTGGGTGCCGAGGTAATAATACTCTCTAGAAATCATTTGTTCACCCATACCGGTACCGATCTTGGTCTGGAAATTGAGAATAGTACCGAAACCAAGATCACGACCTTTACCACATTGGTAGTACTCGGAATGCTTAATTCTACCGCCTCTTTGGAAAGCAGTCATACCACCGAAGATATCCTCGTTCAAATGAAGACCCTTCTGTGCCTTGGCAACACCACCTCTAGTTGTCATGAAGATTGCGTTCAGGAAATCAGGGTGACCATAGTGA